TGAGCCAGGATTGTTGCCTTGACCTGATAAAGTTGAGTTTGAGCAAAAACGTCGATAATAAATTATTTTTTCCCTTGAAAGATATAAGTTCCTTCACATCATTTAGAAAAAAAATTGGGGTTTTCAGCTTTCTTCATGTCTCATAGATAGGGAGTTTTATGCTTACTCAAAATTTCTCCCCTTTAAGATCCTTCCTGTTCTTATAACAGGGCATTGTTGTTTGTACTCTACCTAAAAGGTTTGGTCAACTGTAACTTTGTAATTGTAAGCACAACTCATTTCGTGGTTTTATTTATTTACCATGGTCATTCTTGTACAAGGTACACCATATCTGATCCACCGAAAAAAGTATAGTTAATGCTATTAAATTAACTACTCCCTTCGGTCCACAATAAGTGACCATTTTATATTTGGCACACTCATTAAGGAAATACGAACTCCGGGAGAAAAAAAATATTTACTAAATTAACTTTAATTAATTGTTACTTTGACACTGAAATATGTAAATAAGGGCAAATTTTGGAAAAATAAAATTAATTTTTTTTCTTGATTATTTCAATGAACACTTATTTTGAACCAAAATAAAAAGGTAAAATAGTCACTTATTATGGACCGGAGGGAGTAGTTACTTTTTATATTTTTGAGAGTTTTGAGGGTGCTGCGTGCTCCTTTCCACAAGCAGCTGCTTATTGGGGATAGTAGTATAATAACAATCAAAATAATACTATGAACGAAACACACACACACACACGAAGGCTTTGGTTTTAATTTGTATTATACTTTCTAGTTCCATAATTTTATCCGACGGGCTTGTGAACGAGTCACGTACCACTTTAACGTTGAAAATAACAAACTACCCCCCACCCCCTCTCCCCCTCCCCCTAAATAAGAAAATAGAACAAGTATTAGGGTAAAAACCAATAAAAATTGACATCTAACACTATTTTGTATGATACTGACTTTTACTGAGGCAGGGCATGGATTTTTTTAGGATATCAGCGTAAGATAGAATTACACTCATTTTCCTAGTAATGTCGTAATTACACAAATTCCTCTTTAAATTTTGAAACGCCACATGCTAACTAATTGCTTCTTACCTTTTTCCTTTTAAGCTTTTCCTGATAAATTACTGCCACGAGCGTTGTTGATATGATGCACAGGCTATAATCTAAAGTAAACCCAATTAAAATCAGCGTGAAATGCTTTTGATTTTGGAACCATATCATTGATGGCTATGGTTATCGGATTGTAGGGCTTGAGGTAGGACAAGATGCCTCCTACTTTGCTTCCGCAATCAAATACATTGCCCCATGCGTTTGTCCCAATATTGGAGGGGTAAAAGTTAAAAATTCTTTTTTGAAAAAAAGTTGGTGTCTAAAGATTGAAATATTTTCACTTCTGTCCTTAAAGCTCTCAACTTTATAGGCTTCCCTTAATCATTTGGTTGGTTCTATTTTCATTTCATATCCTAAACTGCCCCCACCTCTATCGCAATGCTATATGAACAAGTGGCCAGGAAGGAGGTGTGAGAGACTGGTTGTGGAGGGCACGAGAAGAGGTAGAGGGTGGCCTAAGAAGTATTGGGGAGAGGTGATCAGACAGGATATGGCGGGGCTTCAGATTTTCGAGGGCATGACACGTGATAGGAAGTTGTGGAGGTCGAGTATTACTGTTGTAGGCTAGGAGGTAGTTGAGTTTTGCCTTACTTTGCACCTTTGCGGCCCTAGTCTGGTAGGATTTTTGTCTAAGATAGCTAGTGGCAATGTCGTGTCTTACTTTTTTTTTCCCTGCATTTTATGTTCCTATTTTCCCTATAATCTCTGAGGTGAACTAATATCGTCTCCTATTGTCTTTTTATTCTCTTGAGCCGAGGGTCTTTCAGAAACAGCCTCTCTACTCCTTCGGGGTAGTGGTAAGGTGTGCGTACACACTACCCTCCCTAGACTCCACTTATGAAAATTTACTGGGTTGTTGTTGTTGTTGTTTCTCTTGTTTGGTTTGTGAGTGAATAACTTTTTTCGAAAAATATTTTCTAGTATTTATTTAAAGAGTAAGAAAATATTTTTAACAAAATAATTTTTTGTATTACTTTCCTTCCCCTTTCCCTCAAGGTTATGCCGTATAAAATAGTTTGCCTTTCAAAGTAATACTTAGATTCTTTTCTTTTGTTAACTGGCTTCACAAGGTTGCATAACCCACCAATCGAATTCGAATGCCTTGATATACTATATATTCATCAACACTCAAGTAAATATAGATATTATAAAATGTAAGAAAAAGAAGGTTCTGTCGAAAAGCATTTTAAATGAAGTCAATATGACCAAGAAAAGAATGGAAAACAAAAAAGAGGAAACACAGAAAGTTAAAGTAAGGACTATATTTATAGAGTAATTTTCAGAAATCACTATTGTTTAGTGGCTATTAATTCCTTATAGCTACCATATACATAATTACTTCCTATAACTACTATTCAGTTGTTACGGTAGTGTATTCGCGCTGCTATATTCATGAATACAACAGCAAAAAACGCCTAAAAATCAGGGTAGTCCAGCTATATGCGCATGTATTCATATGTATTCGCGCCATAAAGCACCTAAAATCAGGCCAGTCCAGCTGCATGCACATGTATTCACATGTATTCGCGCTGCTGTGTTCATGAATACAGCAGCAAAAAGCGCCTAAAATCAGCGCAGTCCAGCTGTACGCGCGTATATTCACATGTATTCGTGCTGTTGTATTCATGAGTACCGCAGTAAAAGCGCCTAAAATCAGGGCAGTCTAGCTGTACGCGCATGTATTCACATGTATTCGCGCTGCTGTATTCATGAATACAACAGTAAAAAGAGCTTAAAATCAGGGCAGTCCAGCTGTACGCGTATGTATTCACATGTATTCGCGTCATGTATTCATGAATACAGTAACACAATCACCTTAAAAATAGGTATGTCCAGCTATCTAAGAGAGAGGAAAAACATAAATAGCGTATTTCATGCCTCAATGGTAGTATATACCATAAATACTTATTTTGCTATAAAATATAAAAAGTAACTATAAAAAATAATATTTTAAAATAATTTTGGTTTATAATAAATATGGTGTATACCTTTGCTATTGGAGGTAAACTTTCCATACATATTTCATGCAAGACCTTGGATATCAATTAAGTTAATCCCCACCCCATGGATTGCCTAAAAAGAAAAGAAGCACCAATCTGAAGACTTGTGGTCAGAGGGGCGGACCTAGAGCATTGAATACGGGTTTTCGAGAACTCAGTAATTCTTGCGTAGATTCTGTATTTATATTAAGAAATTTACTAAATATTTATAAATATCTAACTGTGAACCCAGTTATTATTGCATATTAATTTAAAATTACGGTAGGAACCCATAAGCCTCAAATCTTGGATCCGCCTCTGCTTGTGGTATCTTTTTAAGTCACAAATCTCATTATCTTATTATTACTCCTTAAATATAGTTAAAAAATAAAGTTGGTTAAGCTTACTTTTAAAGTGGGGTTACATCATGCAAACCACTATGTATCTTTTTTAGTAAAACTCTAACATTGTCTTTGGTGTCTGCATATATTCTTCTTTTTTCTTGTACAATATCTTGTCTTGTTGACCTAATCTTCCCGAGACCTTGTTGAAGATCCCTATTCATTTCTTTATTTAAAAGCTTTGTTTGTTTGTACAAAGTTCCAAGTTATTTATAAATCACACATGAGTGGATGTTCACAATAAATATTATTATCATGGTGTGGTTGGTTACAATTTTTTTTAAGAAAAAAGAAATAAGAAAATACTTACTAACACCATAAAGAAAGAAGCTTTCAATTTCAAAAGGGACATGTCAGTATTTTTTGTGTGGTACTATTAATAAGTTTAAATACAGATGGAAGGGTACAGTTGCCATGTTTTTGGAGTGTTATGAAATTTGGTATGCATCTTCTTCATAAATCAGATGGTAGTTTCTTCCAGCTAAGCTTTACCTTACTTTTTGTTCCTTCTGACACTTTACTCAAGCTTCAGATAGAATTCTTCTGCCTTCCATTATTTGCATTTGGTTTTTCTTGGGAGGAAGTGGATGTTATGTGAATGAATCACATCAATGAATCATCAGAGGGTAGGACAGTCATTTCATCATAGCTTTGTTTTCTCTCTCTTAAAAACTACTCCCTACATTTTTGTTTTACGTTCCAAAAAAAATGAACCATTTCTAAATTTGGTAACAATTTAGGTTAAACTTACAATTCTACCTTTAATTAAAAGTTTTTATAACCACACAAATACTGGCTCCCTTTTTGACGGATGAAATTCAAAAATAGCCAGATTTACAAGTGGTCGTTCAAAAATAGTCCAGTTTCAAAAGTAATCGAAATCTAGCCACTTTTCATGCAAAGATATATCTGAGCGAAAACACTGTTCAAAACCCGAAAAATATGCCAGTATATTATGCTGGAGTTCCAGCATAAGTATACTTGAACTCCAGCATATTATACTGGAGTTCCAGGATAAGTATGCTGGAACTCCAGCATAATATGATGGAGTTCCAGCATAAGTACACTAGAACTCCAGCATAATATACTGGAGTTCCAGCAAAGTATACCGGTCCAGTATAATATGCTGGAAGTTCATACACAAGTGCTCGAATCTCCAGTATATTATGCTGAAACTTTCCGTGTGTTGGAGTTCCAGCATAATATGCTGGAAGTTCATACACATGTGCACCGAACTCTAGTATATTATGCTGGACCGGTCTCTGTTGCAGCAAAATAATAGTTATTTTTCATTGACTTGGTAAACGCTGGCTATTTTTGAATGACCAGTCCGAAAACCGGCTAGACCGTGCTATTTTTACCTTTTTGACTTGTTTAGGACTACAAATTCAAAAACTCTTTCATTTTTTTTAAACTCCGTGCTCAGGCAAACATGTTCACATAAATTGGAAGCGAGAGAGTACGTAACTACAAGACACGTCCCTTTCTTTTCATTAAAATAATTCTCAAGAATAAAAAAATAGAGAAGCAGAATTTCTGGACATTATGATGTTTGATTGAGAGGTGTTCATTTACAATCAGAACCCCTCCAAATTCCAAAACTATTTCTTCTTGGTTCTGCTTCTTTCTTAAATATATACACTAGTTTTGTTTTCTATTTTATTTTCTGCTGCTCAGTAGTTTTTTTTTCTTCACTTGGATGAAGCACAAGATTTTTCTGCTGGATTTTGGAATTTGGGACATCATTACTTCCTGTGTACAAAGTGTCAGCTTTAGGGAGAAACTTAGTCATTTAGTGTAATTGGATTAATTAACTGTTTCTGTTATGAAAAATTGGTTGTTTCAATTGCTTTATGAAGTCAAAGATTGGATCTTTTTTGGATTCTATTAGGTGGGGTTGTTTACAATGGGCTGCTACTGGTCATTGTTGAGATGAATTCTTGATGAAGGACAGCAGTTTGATGAGGGTTTTGTTCTGCAAAATCCATTGTCCATTTATTTGCTTCTGTAAACCCTCTGCTGCTCATCTTTACACTTCAGGTCCATTGAAACTGGAAAGTGGCCCACATGTCGCTCCAACACTTGTTTCTGATCAACAATCTGTTGCTGCTGAGGTGGAAGAAGAGAGTTCTTTAGATGGAAACCAACTTCCTGAAAATGATCTTAAAAGCTGTATTAGGAAAAGTCCTAATTCTTCAAAGGAAATTGACAAGAAGAGAGTTCAATGGATGGATAACATAGGGAAAGAACTTGCTGAGATCAAGGAGTTTGAATCCAGGTAAGTTCTTGTGGAGAACAGCATTACATTTGGCTCAACTTTGATCAGCTTTTTCCACAAAAAAATATTTCTGTTCAATTGAGGTGAGCTGTTAATTCTGTTATTGGGGTTTAAATTAAGGGATAAACATGACAAAATGTGGAGAATATAGATCCAGGTTGCTGGATTTACTTAGATATATTATTGAGATCCAGAAAGGGAGCATTGGCGTAACCGGTAAAGTTGCTGCCACATGACCAGCTGCGTGGGTCCGGTCCTCCCCGGACCCGCGCATAGCGGGAACTTAGTGCACCGGGCCACCCTTTTTATATTATTGAGATCTATCTGCTAGAAGTTTGAACAGCTTGGATTTCTGAACAAAATTAAGACTAAACAAAAATTAGGCATCTGATAGGAATATGAAGTTCTGCGCAGAACAATTTCTAATTTAGTATGCTTTTGGGAGAAATTTTCTAACTTCTAAGTTGGACATGGGATGTGATAGGAAATTGAGTGAACAATGATAAGTATAGTACTAATGTGCAATGCCTGTGTTTTCTAGTCTAGGATTTTTGTAACTGATACTAAAGAATGTTTACTTGATGTGCCCATATATAGCTAGTTCTTGGTCACAACTGCTGGTTCTGATATCTTTGTACATGGCATTTATTTGGATCATTAACCTCTCACCTTCTATGCCTTTGTTTGCTGATGCTAAACTGGGTTTATTTTGATGTACACTTTCTTTGCCTATACTAAACGAGTATGAGGCTTTTTGAATCTGGGCTGGGGAGAGTTAAAAGGGTGTGATAAGAAAATTGAATTGATTGCCATGATAAGATGTGATAAGATTCTATGGGTCATAATGTTGAACTGGAAGATGTGATAAGATTCTACTGGTCATAATGTTGATGGCTCACGATGGTGCGCAGTCAAGCTATGAGCCAACTGAAGCGCGTTTGACACAATTCTAGGTTATATAATTTTATACTAATATAAAGTATATGTAGAGTAAACTGTTCTTGGTGAAACTTTCTAGAATGTAGAAACAGCTTTCTAGCCATTTAACACTACTAACTGCTTTCCTCATCAATAATAGGTGGAGATGGTGTCAAGTTCTGAGCTTTTTTAAAGCCTGTCTATTGCAGTTTTTGTAGAACGGATTTACGGCTTAGAATTTAAAAGCTATTTATTGAGCTGTCCATAAGTGAATTGATCTTGCGCAATTAGTTGATTGGACGTGAAGATGGAAAATGGCATGTACAGTCATTGGTACAAATGCATTCTAATCATATGAAAGAGGGAATGCTTACTTCTCCAGGAATATATTGAAACACATAACGACCTAACCATTCAGAAACATAAAATTAGTGGCTGCATTCCTTCTGTTACAGACTAGACTTAGAGAGCTGAGACGTCACATTTAGTACAAAAATTCTGTCTGTCTACTTTCCTGATGGATGAATTTTCTTTACATCATGCTAGATAAATTAGGAGCCTGAAATGATTTAGTTGCTTCTTTTATGAAAATAAATTAGATGAATTAATACTCTATTAGTAATTTCCTTTTCACTTTTGTAGTTGTGTTCTGTCTAAATCCTATTTCAGTTTAATTCCCTCCAATGTTGTCAAAGCTGCGCTTAAGCCCTGTAGCGAGGTTTAAAACTTGTTGAGTGCTTCGCCTCGCTTTGGGGGCGCTTTAGTGTCACATCAAGGCACTAAGGCATATTTTTCCTTGCCAATAAGTGTAATCCTGAAAAGGCGATACTAAACAATTGATATTTCATTTTATCATAATTCTTTTTCAATTTTTTTGTCTTTATATTTTTTATTCACGCTTATAATTATTGGTCTTGGCTACGTATATATATTTTTACTTTTTCTCCAGTTGCGCCTTTTTTCATTAAAGCACACGCTTTATTTGCGCTTTGCGCTTAAAGACCCAATGGACCTTAGAGCTCTTTTGCGCTTAAAGACCCATTTCAGTTTAATTCCCTCTTAGGTTGTTCCTTTAATAGTAAGCTGACTGTTAAGATGATGTTATCTGCAGTGAAACGGGGGATACTGACACTGAAGAGGAGACAAGACATTGTCTATGCATTATTCTTTGATGCTGCTTAACCAGCTTCTTCCTGAAACTACTTCCAAAGTGGGGGCTGCTTAACAGAAGACAATGAGGAATTGACTTCATGTGCACGGGAACTTTGTTCATGCTTCGATCAGAATTGCTATTCTTATTGCATTTACATCAAGAATTTCTTCCATGCCGTGCTTTAGTAGAGGCGGAGTTGATGCTGTCATTTCAAAGCTAGACTCCTCATTTGAGTACATTTCATTATCTGGGGAACATCCCACACGGGAATGAAGGTTGTCCATGTATCACTTTTCTGCCATTGCGGATTGTGATCACTTCAAGCTTCTTATGTGAGAATTCATGCCAACTGACAACTGTTCCCTGTCGTAAAAGCGTGAAGCCAAGCTGATGTTTATTCTTGCTTGATTCTTCTGAGTGATAAAACCACACACAAACTAACTGTTTTCTCCTGCAGTAAGTTTTCTGGTTCTAGCATCTGTAGGCTACCCTGAAAAACCTATGTGCACAAATGTTAAACTACAAGAACAAGCAGCATGTATTGTTTCTGTTGTTTTCTCCAAATAATAAACTTTGAATGAGTTTCAGCTTGGTAGACCAATAATATATTGTGCATCAGTGAAACTGCTTTTGATCATGAAAGGAATATTAGAGGGATAAACAAGCTTAACTTTGAAGATGTAACAAGTTATAATTCCTCTTCATTCTCACAAGCAGATTGCCGCCAATGATCAGCTTGATCAGTATTTGTTTTTTCTTTCAAAAAAGAGCTTAGGCTGCGATATTTTTTTTTTCTATTGTATTATTAGCTAAGAAGTGTACCAGGCTGCCCTTTTTTTTTTTATTAGCTAAGAAGTACATGTTTTGTCGGTGAGAAGCCAGAAAAATATGAAGATCTTGCTGGTTTTCCATCATACCAGTAAGATTTCCTAGCTCTGAAGGGTTGTTTTGTTCTGAGATTGTTGCCTGGACGTCAAGAATTTGGAGATCTCTAAAGATGCAAATGCTTTAGATTGCTCATTTCAATTTCATGTTTGGCTGATCTGCTTCTTGTTAGGATTTTGCCCTGAATTTCTAATTTATTTGGACTCCCTTTTTGAAGGAGAAAAACTCCTAAAATGAATAAATCTCCTTGATATGCGTTATCCTTTTCTTCGAGGAGAAGTTTTGTACTTCTATAAATTGACGTTTTCTTACCACAACAAGAACAACAACCTCCACAATGTAGTCTTTACGAGAATCATGTTTAGGGGAGATTATTCTCTCAAAAAATTTATTTTCTCTTTTATATTATTGATGGATCATATGTAGGTCGATTGACCAAATAAAAATAAATTATTATGCCTAGTTTAGTATATTTTTCTTTGTTGCATTATTAGCTCCCGCATGCACCATATTATTTCGATCCCAACAATTGTCGTGGCATATCATTCCTTTCTTTTTCAGTTGAGATTTTACGACTCTTCCATTTTTGTAAGCAGTTAGAATGATACTTAGGATAATTAAACATAGTGGTAGACATAAGTCTTGCTTCAGTAGATACATATACTAGAACTATATTAGGAAAAGAAGAAGGCAATTTTACTGACCTGGATAGGCCATTAAAATCATAGTGGGTTAGCAGATATTTTGGTTTCGAATTAGCAGTCAGTCTATTGTTTTTAGTACTCAAATGCAACCTCATAGCCATCTCAAGGTACCCCCAAAAAGGAAAAAGAATGTACTCTCATAATGGAAATATTTATTAGTAAAATTATGCAGGAAAGGTTCCACTGCAGCTGTGTAAGAGAACTGAGGCAATTACTCTTCTCGTCATTATCTATACTATCCTAATTCTATGCTGCTTCTTGATCTGTACTATGTATCTTCAAGGGAATCACCAATTTAAAGTGCAACTGCTTCAGTTCCGAGCGTGCTTTCTTAGGAGGCTACGCTGTTGTGTAAGCTTCTTGGGGGTGAAAAGTCCAGTAAGTAATATAACCAGAATTGATACAAGGAAACCAAATGGGAATCCTATCCACATTGCTTCCCATGCAAACCATGGCTCTTTGCTCTCATTCTCTGGTTCCATTGCTTGTGGTGACTTGTTTTCAGGACAGTGCAGTTGAATTTGGAAGCCACAAAGACCACTATTATTAGCATAATAAGTTGGATCATCCATTGTATCCATTTGGCCACCAACTGGGATTTTACCCTTTAGATGGTTATTGCTGACATCCAGAGTAGTGAGTTGTTGAAGCTTTGTAAAGGAATGCGGTATTGGATCAGAGAGACTGTTGTGAGACAAATCTAAACTCTCAAGATTCTCTAAATTCCCAACAGTTGCTGGAATTTTTCCTTTAAGGCCATTGTAAGAGATGTTAAGCATCTTTAGGCCTCTAAGCTTGCCTATAGAAGATGGGATTTCTCCAGAAAGATGGTTTTTTGACAAGTCCAGCCAAGAGTAGATGTCGATGCTGGCACTTGATGACAGACCTTGTACTGACCTCTTCCAGTTCACTATCAGGTCAGTGTATTCAATTGAGAAGGTGAAAACGAATGATATTGATGAGAACGTACTCGGCGTTTCAATCATTCCAACTAGATTTCCAACCTCTGAAGGGATACTTCCAGTGAAGCTGTTGTGTGACAAGTCAAGTATTTGAAGATTACTTAAGTTGGAAATGCTACAAGGAACTGAACCTTGTAGGAAATTATTCCTCAAATTCAAGCTTCTAAGTGTGGACATTTCTGAGATAAAATCTGGGAATTCTCCTGTGAGTCTGTTGTCATGAAGATCAAGATGCTCAAGCATGTAAAAATTGGTCAGGTTCCTGTTCAAACTCCCCGAAAAATTGTTTCCCCCTAAGGCTAAAATCCTGGTTTCTTGTGAAAAGGTTAGAGGAACATCACCGGAGAGGTCATTAAAGGATAAGTCAACATACGCAACAAAAGAAGTTGGATCAAAAAATGGAATTGTGCCAGAAAGTCTGTTCTTTGACAAGTCCAACAGTAACAAGCGATAAATATTGGTGATGGAGCTCGGAATTTTTCCAGAGAAACTGTTCTCAGCCAATATGAGAATCATAATCGCGGTAGCATTACCCATGTTTTCTGGCAGCTCCCCTGAAAACCTGTTTCTTGAAAGGTCAAGAAGAGATAGACTTCTGGAATGGAAGAGACTAGGAAGGAGAGAACCAGTTAGATTGTTATCTGACAGAATAATAGTTCCAAGTTCCATTTCTGCAAGCCACTGAGGGAAAGTTCCTACGAGCTTGTTGTCACTCAAATCCAAGTAATCAATACTTCTTTGTGAAGAAATCCATTCTGGTATCGGTCCGACAAGGCCGCAAGACTGAAGGGACAGTCCAGATAACATGCATTGAGGCACTATCTTGGCATTGTTGTTCCATTTCAATGCATTTTTTCCAAGAAACAGATTTTTCAGAGCCTTCATTTGGAATAACCAAGATGGAATCTCTCCAGTAAGCATATTGTTATCCAATTTAAGAGTCTCCAATTTGGTCATGTTCTTTATTGAACTTGGAATGACACCAGTCAGCTTGTTCTTGCTCAAGGCCAAAGTAGACAGATTTGACAAGCTCCCAATCTCAGTTGGAATCTGCTGTGAAAATAGATTTTCCCTTAAATCCAACACTTGCAATCCCTTCAAGTCCACCAGAAAAGTGGTTGTTTCTGAGGGACAATTCTTGAATCTTGCTGAGGTTTCCAATCTCCACGGGAATGTTTCCACCAAGAAAGTTGTCATCAAGCTTCAATGTTCTCAACTTTTGAAGAAATCCTACTTCAGGATCCAAAACACCAGTAAGCAAATTCTCACTCAAGTCGAGATATTGCAAGTGCCTTAAGTGAAAAACTTGTGGAGGAATAGAGCCAGTAAAGTTATTCTGCATCAAGTCAAGATGAACCAAGTTTCCAAGACTGGCGATCCCTTCACCCGGTATTTGGCCTTTTATGTGATTTGAGGACAAGATAAGCATCATCAAAGATTTTATTCCGAAAAGGGGTGCCAAAACAGAAGAACTGACCGCAACAGGTTCAAGAGATTGAAGAGAAACAAGGGAATCCAGATAGAGAGCAATCACAGCTTTAGAATTTGATTTAGAGTCACAAATGACTCTATCCCAAGTACAACAATCGGAGGTGGAATTCCAGTCCTCTAGTGCAAAGCTGAAGAAAGCATCTGAAGAAGATGAATTAACAGCAGCAGCATTCTTGAGGAATGCAGATTTAAACTTGAGAAGGGCTTGTTTTTGATCAATTGGACAGCAAAAAGCAGCTCTAAAGAAACTGAGAAATCCCACTGAAAGAAGCAGTAGGCATGGTTTAGTCATGGTTGGTTTGAATACTCTTTGAAATTTTCTTTGTAGTAAGGCATTAATGAGCACAATCTGGTTTTATAGAAAGATAATTTTGCCCATACTAGTTGAGTCAATGGATTGTGTACGGCAACCACAAATCAGTTGCCTTTTTAGTTGATTAGAGTGTGCTGTCAAGTCATTGTAGTGGTTAGGTGAAGTCAAATGAATAGAGTATTACAGTGACAAATCGTTCTTTGTGGTTGACTATAGGGGTGGTAGCTAGTGATTGTAGTGATTAAAGTCAATTTGCACTAGTGTTTTTAGTCTGAAAATAGAATATAAACAAGTGAAGATCGTTTGGCTTGCTTTTGGTGAGCAATTTTGACTGGTATTCTCTCAGCATTGGGATATTCCATGGAAGTTAGAAAAATTTACATCATTCTATATTTTGGGGTATTTTTAATGAGCCAAGCAGTGTCAGTTAATTAGTTGTAATAGTTGTTACTTAAGTTTACTATGGTTACTAGTAGAGTTAGTTAACCACATCTAGTGGTAGAGTTAGTTTTAGTTTTGGTCATATACTTCACTCTACATATACATGTACAAATACACAAGGAATAATAGAACTCTTTGGAATATTCTCTCCACCTTCATCCTCTGCTCTGCCGACTTACTCAAGCTCATTAGGTCACCTTCCAATCAACTAAAACTCCATTGCTGAGCTTCATGGATAGCTGAATTTGACATGGTATCAGAGCTACACGACCATTAGTGTGGTCTTATTGTCCTTAATTTCGTCCTCTTGAAGCTAATTTGGAGGATCAACAATGGCGACTCTCGATAACACCGAACCAGAGAAATTAGGTCACAATCATCCACTTTTCCTGAATTTAAATAATAATTCAGGAGCTGTGTTGATTTCGTTGCAATTGCGAGGACCGGAAAACTACTCTGTGTGGAGCCGGGCAATGCGGATTGCAATCCTAGGTCGAAATAAGCTAGGGTTCATTGACAACACATGCAAACAAGATAATTATGGTACGAATCTCGTTGATCTCTGGGAGCGTTGTAATGCGATTGTATTGTCTTGGTTGATGAACTGTGTTTCACCGGAATTATTGAGTGGAATGGTATATTCCTCAAATGTTAGTGAGGTATGGGATGATTTGAAGGAGCGTTATGATAAGGTGGATTGTTCTAGGATTTTTCAGATCCACAGAGAAATTGCTACTGCTAGGATGGGCACTAGTTCAATTTCAACTTATTTCTCAAAATTAAGAGTGCTTTTGATAGTTTGGCACCA